CCCAGCCGGCTGGGTTGGCTAGGGAATTTGGGGAGTTGAAGTCCACACATCTTAAAGTTGATAAGGTTGAGAAACCCTGTTCTAGAGGACACATGAAGTTCTCTTTTTTTCTGCATAACAACACTGAAAATAACAGCTATACTTATTATTATTATACTATTATTATAGCCCAGAGTCACTTTTTAATGAGATGGGTGGTGACAAATTTGCTAAATAAATAAATAAATATTATTGATAGCTGATAGCCTGTGTTTTCTTCCACTTAGTGGGACACATAGCAATTTACATATGCATTAACTCAAGCTATTCAGAGTGCAAAAGAGAGAAATCAAGTAAACCTTAAGATTCCAATTTTTAAAGCCAGTTCAGTGGCAGTTACATGGTTACTAAATCTCAAACTAAATAGTGATCATACATCTTTCATGGATCCCCTCAGCTCAAGTTATCTCAATCAACCAATAATAATTCAAATTATTATGTAAATCCTTCTAAGAATTTTTGTACATAAGTAGTGATTATAAAGAAATAGGTCAGCAATTGTTTCTTACTTGTTTCACATAATTCTGGATTACTGTAATGCAGTGTTTCTCAAACTTTTTTCTCTCAGGACCCCTTCCCACTTTTAAAAATTATGGAGGACCCCAGAAGAGTTTTTGTTGTATGGATAATATTTATTGATATTTACCATATTAAAAATTAAAATTGATGCATTCACTGCTATCACTTCTCATGATTGTTTGATGGGATTTTAATATTGCATTATTTTTCAGCATAGGCTGGCAAATAATTTTGATTTTGCAGACCCCTGAGAAGGTCTTGGTGAACCCTCAGGGGTCCTAAGACCACACTTTAAGAAACACTGCTGTAATGCGTGCTACATGAGGTCGCCTTTGAAGATGACCCAGCAGTGGCAGGCTATTGGGCCAAGAGACTCTACTATAATATAATACCTGTTCTACTACATTGGCTACCAATAGATTTTCAAGTTGAGTTCAAAGTTCTAGTTTTGACCAAGAGTGCTCTTTATTGTTTGGCCCCAGTGTACCTTGGGGACCATTTCCTCCAAAGTGATGCTGCCTGTCCCATGCTTAGGGCTCCACCCCTCAGAAAGATTGATGTGATGGAAGACTTGAGTGAGGAGGTCCAAGGTCACTGGGAGTCGGAGAGGAATCTCAAGCAACTCCTCAGCCCGCAGCCTGAGCATGTGAAAACTAAGAGGATGAGACTGGCACCACCCTAAG